CCCCAAAACCCCAAAACCCCAAAACCCCAAAACCCCGACTTCCATAATACGAATTGATTTATTATATGGAGTGTCATTATTTTCGGTGAAATAAATAAACCTTTCCTATCTAAACTTCCTTTCATCAGGAATGCCTTCTAACATAGCTTGATTATAAATAAAGTCTTGAATAGGCCTGATAATCGAGAATCTTATTCTTAACTAAAAGGAAAATATTCTGGAGCAAGGATTAAAAATTTTGATGTTATTCTTCTGAAATTTTGAGAATTAGATATCAAAATAGGATGTCTCGACAAAGTAAATCATTATACAGTATTCTATGGGCTCGAAGGAATCCTAAATAATTCTAGAACTAAAGAATCAGTCCAGAAGTTGCTCTTAGTATTAATACCAGACTATTTACTCTTCTTATTAATCCAAGATTGCGGTACAAACTAAATTCGCCAAGATTTCAAACAGAATGATTTAAGTGGCTCAGCTCGAGGAATTTATTTCAGTAAAATGGTTGGAGAGGATATTCAATGTCTAACCCAAGACTAGAAATCTGATAGAAATCCTGATTACTTATATAATTTGATAAAAGTTGATAAATGAGGAATTGAAACCGCTAGGGATTACGATACTAAAGATGCCGTAATTCTTTTGCATGGCAAGAGTTTGCTCTATTTATTAATAAATGAAATTTCTGTTGTTTATAATGTCAAACACTTCGGGAGAAAGAGCAAGGATTGACAAATAATACCCCAGAGTAAAGAAGTGCATTACCTTATATGAAATAAGTGTTAATAAAAATCTGTTATGCACTCCTCTTTGTATCAGTTAAAATAAAGAGAAGATTAGTTTATAAGAGATCTCTTGAGTTATAAATACTCTCTTGCTCACATATCAGGAATCATAGCAATAGAAAGGATTTCATATAAATCCAATTTCATAAATTTGGAGATTTGACTTCACTAGACGTTATTGGCACCAGAGCTATACCTTTAAGCTATTAATCCAAGCATGATTTGGTGAGGAAAAGTTTATTAAAGGAAGAAATATTTTATCTTAGACGTGACTGAATAGTCTTCTTTAACTTCTTGCTGGTCATTGATATTGGAAGAGGAAAGTCTTTGGCTTTTCCAAGCTTCTTAGACGTCATTTTCCCTATTTTAACAAGGTCTTGAGTGATATAAGGGTCGAATTTTTCTTTCCGAGATCTTTCAACAGATATTTTATCCATGAAGCCAGGGACTTGAGAAGAGTTTGAGCTCCGCATTTTAAGGCGTCTCATTATTTCTTTACTCAGCTTTAGCTTCTCTCGTTTGTGGGGTTTGTTTGGCTTTGTGAATCCTGATGTGGAGTTACCCAGGTTCATAGTCTGGCCGTAAAATGATGTTCCAGCTCTCCTATGCTTGATCTTCCTTGAACTGGTGTTTGTGTTGATAGTTTTGTTGTACTTCAAGAACTTGCTTCGATGAATGTCCCTAGAATTAGAGCTTTGGTGGGACCGATCTTTCATACAAGAGTTCCTAGTTTTAATTTTTCTCTCTTTTAGACTACTAAAGGAGCCTCGCATTCGTTTGCTCACGCTAAAAGAGGCTCTATTAATTTTAGCATTGCTATTTTTGTAGATAAGAAATTCTGAATTTTGGGTACTATGCCTAGAATTCTTCAGTCTTTCTCTATAGAGGTTAGGAATAATTGGATACTTTGAAATTTTAGGTTTCTTGATCAACTTCTTAGATTTTAACTGCTTGATTTGTGGAGTGTAGCTCGCTGCTACATTATTCTCTATAAATAGAGACTTCATACTTACTTTTAGAATACTTATTTCTTCAGATTTGCACTCAATGAGCTACCAAGGGATGGTTTCTGGAAGTGCTTTCTGACCATTCTTTCCGGTGAAACACTCGTACTTTGTGCTAGACTTATTGGATTAGTCCTTCTCTGAATATGGAGCTTCACATCAAGTTTCTCCGGTGGGATTTCAAAAGGAGAGGGTTTGTCTGAACTTTTGTCTGATTTCTTTAAACTTGAACTATCCTCTAAATTTAAGTAAATGTTTCTTACCCCCATCTGAATGAAGAGGAGGGAGCTTCGGCAACACATGATGCTTTAACAATGACTTTGAGCTTTCCTTAGGATCTAGAACACTATTCTGAGCTATACATTATGCATTAGGATTACTCTGAGATATCGACTTGGAAAGTTCAATCATGATATCCTTCTTTTTAAGGCTCTTGTTCTTGTTGGACTTTAGATTAGACTCCTTGAATATAAAGTCTTTTGATTTGAGCTTAATCCTTCTATTATTTTTTAGTATTCTAATTTTTCTAGGTATCTTATTTGGCTCTTTAGGAACTATTTAAAGCTTTCATAGTCAATAGATGGGTTTTTGGAAATTGTCTGAATAATCCGGTTCTTTTCAACAGAGGCGTTCTCAGAAGTGGTCGCTAGATTAGTACTAATGTCTTTAGACCCTAGTGTTTCGATTGAATATTTCTTAATGTTCTCTCTTATCTTCATTTTTGATGCAGATCTTGAAGAATCAAAGCCAAAATTTTGATTAGGGATACATTTTACTTCTTCTTTCTCCCATGCATTTGAAATAGAAAGGGAGATATCCTTTTCAGTCTTGTAATTAAGTGTTCAAGAATCATCTGAAAAGAAATTGAACAGTTTTGTCCATCCATTTTTCCTACCACTCTTTTCAGTAGGGCTGATCTTTCTGGTTGATACAAAGTCAATAATATTTCTGGATAGAATAACTGGTTTAGGGTTTTGGGATTTTGAGCCGTAATCAAACACTTTTCGGGGATTAGAAGTGAGCTCTTTGATCTTGCTTTGATACCACTGTATATCAACCTTCTCCTCTTTGAATTGTTTATTTAAATGTCGAAATTTCTTGGTAATATCCATCAGTGAACATTTTTGTGTAGTCAAAGTCTGAATCACCAAAATCATCTTCGACTCTAATGAATGAGTCAACTCCAATCGTGGTTAGCTTATTCTTTCGCTCTTGTTTCCTCTCTCTTTTTGCCTTGTTTTGGGCAGCAATGTATAGCTTTTCATCGATGACTCTTTGCTTGCGCTCAATATTATTTAAATAGTCCGAAATCTATAATTATATGGCAAAAATTACCAAATTTCTCTGAATGGGAGAGACATTCAATCACTACATAATTTGGAAATATTTTGAAGTAGGACATGAAGAACTCTACCAACTTCTTCATCTTAGGCTTGAGTTCTTCAAAGGTATAAAATTTATTTTAAGAATTCTGCGATTTCATCGTTGACAAGGTAGTCTTTGAAGATAGATGTGATCTTAACAGGCCGGTTGAAAATTATCTCATTTATTAATTTCACATTATAAATATCGACACTTGTTCTATATTTCTCAAATAGGATCGTCTTCATCCGTTCTTGCTGTTCCTGGTGGAAACTTTTTCCTAAATTCTTATAAGATCTTAGAATTTTTGGGCTTACCATGCGCTATACTTTGTCAGTGTTCTCAGGTTCCCTCTGTGTAATAATCTAAGAACATTTCGAGTCTTGGGTGATCTATATTTTTACTGTTGATGAATATTATTACCTGAGAAATCCATTTATAATTTTTTTCAATTACTTATTATATTTTAGGGGTTTTGGGGTTTTGGGGTTTTGGGGTTTTGGGG